AAAGGGTCTTCATATACTTTTAAACTTTTCACTCCTCCCTGGTTCAAGGGAATACTAACAAATTACAAATATATAGCAACAATTTGCCCCAAGCTTGAAACGTCTGCCAATTTTTCAACTGCTGGAAATTCTTATCTCCACTGAGCAATATAATTGATCCCCTTCCCTTTCAAGGACAGAGTGCCGTGAAAACGTTGTTGGAATGACTTTTAAATTCCTCAGTTGAACAAATATTGCAATGCTTGATAGTTTCTATTACTGAAAATAGTCACACACTCACTTTGCAGAGAACACTCAGTGTCTAGTTTGTTGAATACCCAAAAAGGACAAGCATACCTCCAGCAGGTTATAATCATGAAGTGAACTGAGACAAACAACTTTCACACTCTTAAAATTCCAAAATTTAAGCTGTCCTGCTGTTCATGTTTATAAAACACCGAATAAGGATCATGTTCAGAAGTCGGAGTGCATTCTTCAATCCATTGTAATGGAAAAATTGTTCACAATCACAACAACATATTTTGACCAAAACTGTCATAACACAGTCTAATAGATAATAGCTTTTGTTTAGTACAACTCAACCAGATCTTCTAACCAATGATTTTTGCATACAAGTGAAAATATGAAAGATCTCAATTTGCATATTAATTATTTTCACTTTGGCAATTATAAGACAAAATATAAACAAGTTCTTGTAAGTCTGAAATATTCAAAAATCTAGACTGAACTGGAAGAAATTAAATTCTTTATTTCTGAAATAAGTTCTAAGATCTGAGCAACTCTCAAAAACAAAAACTTGCCAAAATGAGAAGGGTTTGACTGTTGAGGGAGACTAAATAGCTGTGCATAACAAGTGTAATGTATTACATCCAAAAGTATAGCACAAGTAATTAGTCCCAAGCATCCAGCATCTAAAACTGCTGCTAGGATTTATTTTAAATTTTTAACTCCAGACAATAGAGAAATTTTACCCCTATCATTTGAAGTAGAGATGAACAAATGAAATCGTCTTTCTTACCTGTACAGAACCCTGTTGCTGTCCTTGGGCAAGTGTCTGTCCCAGCTGAACCGATGTCCCCGGTGCAAAGATAGTGGTAAAGGCTCCCCCCGGCATGGCCTGAACAGAGTATGATGATTGAACAGAAGCATTCTTGTTCCCCCCTTGCTGTTGAATGTTTGATGGCGGAATGTATGTGGTGATGGGGAAGGAATGGCCTGTTGCAGGCAAGGCTGTTATGCCAGTCATAGGTCCACTGGTGCCTGATAATGCACCCACTGTCAAACCTTGATTAGTGTCTATTTGCTGTGAGGTAAAAATACCACCCCGATCCTACAAATGTACAGAATTCAAAATGAGCATGAATTTCACACAAGTGTACATGAAATAAAAATCTCAATGCAATTCATGTATCACAAGTAACATATTAATTAAAGGTATGGACTTTTTCCTTATATTATTATCTAGTGAAATATTTTGTCTATTAAATTTGTTTGTTGCCTGTTATTAATCACATTATGCATAGCTTCCTGTTTACTCCAAAATCATATAACTTAGATCCTGAATTATCCTATTTAAGTTTGTACAAGTTTTTTTTTTTTTTTTTTTTTTTAAATTCTCAGTGTGATGGTGCAAATTTCCTGATGATGATAATGATAAACACGAGTTGAAAAACGACTGCAATTATTTATTTACTGGAGAAAAAAAAAACAGAGATGCTTAAAATGTTACGAAATTATTTCCCTTCAGAGACTATTTTTTTCGAACGCTCATTTTCTCACAATACATTAATCAATATGATTTTCTGGTTCAGAAATACTCAGTAATCCATATAATGGAATTGGTAAAGACAGGAAATTACGATGATGTTTAGTGTGTGGCATTGTTGATTACTTCGGTCGTATTTCATAAAGACGCTACATTTTGGCAAAGCCAAAGATCGACTCGAAGCTGTCAAGACCAAAGAATACTTCATGCGCCAATAAAATATCAAATTACGATTCTAACTAAAAGAAAGCGAAAGTGAATATTTCCCTCGAGGAAACTCTAACAGTATCTTTTTCGACTCATTTGCCCACAAATTCGAGTCTAGAAGGACAAGAAGAGGATTCCCCAAACAAGGCGAATGAAAGGGACAAACAAACGCTTACTTCGTCTCCAAAAATGGGCAGGAAACGTACCAAAGAAGGAAACGGGTGCCATATATGGTTGGAATGTTTTAAAGGACGCGGAGTTTGAAAATTTTACGCGAACGATTTGCCGCGAAAGTGAGAGAAAACTATATAAAAACAATCGATTTGTACATTCTCTGGAAAAAAAGACGACCATTGAAGGTTAGAAAAATTTGAAAAGATGCCAAAAGCGCAGAAAATGATGGACAAATATGCTTCGATACTAAATACCCTTCAGAAGCGAGGTATATTTATAAATTTGTAATCAAGTATCCCGGACTCCGAAAAAAAAAAAAACGACTAAAAAATCGAATTACCAATCGTTCAAATAACGTACCCATAGATGCATAGATTAGATCTCTTAATATTTTTTATCGCTGGCACAAAACGTACAAAGACACAAGCAGATGAGAGCTGTATTGCACTGTGAACTCGAGTTCAAATATACCGCTAACCTGCATTTTGTCAGCGTCGTTTTCGTTGACCGTGTAAGTCAAATCTGTTTCTTCGTATCCCGTAGCAGACATTCTCTGGTCCGGATTTGGAATCTGAGAAACTGGAGGATCGGGCGAATTCAAGCAAGTTTGAATGAGAGCTTTCCCACTCTCCGAAGTTATCATCGGCTGTAGCTTTCTAGTGGCGAACGTGTAAACATGCCCAGTTTCTGAAGCGACCAACAACATCACCTGGGTTCCGGTTAGCGTGCTCAGCTCGTAAGCCTATAAAAGTAATAAAAAATATGGTAAAATTCAAAGGGAAATTTTAAAAAGTAAAAAAAGAATCTTTTTCCACAATATATTGAAAAATATAAGCTAAAAAGCGCGGGCTAATTAAGCTTATCTTCCGTCGCCGTCAACTGAAAAACCAACCTTTTTCATTATTCCAGTTTTCCTTTTACTAAACGTCGTGTATCTTCTCAGTTTGTTCGAGATAAACTTCATTTCGATTTTCACCCGTCCTCTAGTCTTTTTCTTGGGTCTTTCTTCCACTAGCATGCTATTTTCAGCGTCGCCATCGTCGTCGCTGTCTGCCTGTCGTTTCATTCCGTGCCCATCGTGGTGTTCGCCAGCCATCGCCGCTTCGAATGCTCCTTCTTCTATCGTGGTTGGATCAAGAACTCCGCTACCTTGTGCCTGAGCTCCGTAATGCATGTTCTCCAGTTCTTCTGTTGTTGTTGTGGATTCTTCGCTCTGCATTATGCCAGTTGTAGGATGGCCTTTTATGGAGACGGAACTCGAAAACCTGTTACCTTTTTTGTCGTTTCTTTGCTTTCTAAAAAGGAATGTGGGTGGACCAATATGGCGGTCGCATCCCGTGACTCGGCTGAATCACGTGACTAAACGTAATAAACCGGAAACAAGCCAAAAGGACCGGCTGCTGGCAAATTATTTTCAACAACAAAGTCCAAATGTCATTCCAGCTATTAAACCAACCTTCGAGAAATAAAATTACTTGAGAAAGTACTATTGTATGTTGAAAAAAGAAATTTATCAGTTGATAGATTCTCGTTAGCCGGAAACTTTTCGTCGGGCGACAAGTTGTTCATTTCTTGTCTTGTGACTTGTCGGGCGCCAATCAAAACAATAAAGCGACAATAGATGATCATATCAAAACATTTAGCTATTTGTTTTTACATATCATAGAAGTTCCCCTAATACAGACAGGGGACGTTTCAAGACGTCAGAATGCAGACCCAAGGGATAAGACACTGCAGG